AAATTGGAGAGTATTGTAATCATAATCGTGTGGAAGGATCCTTTTCCCTACCTGATTCATCGAAAAATTATTTAAATGCTCATGAATGAGTAATCATCGGTTGTTTGACATATCTGCACATTTGAAGATTATCATACACGACTCAACCACCTAACTTTGCACATTCTTGTCACGCGCATTCACGAACAAGATTAATTTAGATACGATGTTCGCTACAGAGGTGAATTAGTTGAATTAAAATGTGCTTAGTTCATTTCGTCACAGCAATCACGTATGAAAAAGCTCAATTTACCGTCATTTTACACGTAAATTACACGCCACTGATCGAAGGTCAATTACTGATCCTTTTTGGTCAGAAAAAAAGTGACGAAATTTCGCGTCACAAAAAAGACCAAGGAAAATCTTGACGGTCATTTTACATCTAGATAGAACGCGACAAATATCGTTCATCATGTTACTGTGTTAATTCGAAGTTCGGCCCCTGGGCTGAGCCTTGGACCCCAGAGCTCCCCAAATTTTAGTAAGAGATAGCCTGCTTTAGGGACCGTATGTTTGACAGAGTTCTTTAATTAGTTCTCAAATGAGAAGATTTACGACATCATTTATCCAATGAAAAACCTTATACGACTGTTTTTCTATAATTGACCTGTATAGATTCTGTGATAATAATAAATAAGAAAAGTGCTACGAAACTTCTGATTTTTTTGCAATTCCATACTGAGGTAATATTCACTAAATTTTCGATTTCCGTTTCGGCATTATTCATAATTTTATTCAAATTTCTAAAAAAATTCATGAAGAAAATGAAAAAAAAAAATCGCCGAGCATAAAAATGACGGTCAGATTACATCTAGATAGACGATTTTTCAGCATAAATGACAATGAGAAAAAATTACTGACAATCGGGTGAGCTGACCGGTCAGTTTGCATCACGAGGTATGCGTCAAGTCAGAAATGGTCAGAAAACGGTAAATTTACCGATTTGACGCATCCAAAAAATTACCGGCATTTTGCATTGCTAATTCACTGCAATCTCTGTTTTTAAAAATACTCTTTCCTCCTTCTTTCATTGACTTTCGATAAGTCACGTGCGACACGACATTCCGCGGAGATTAGTCTGCCGTTACCTCACATGATGAATAAAGTTGCGATAGTTATAATTTTTTGAATGAGATGGAACGGGTTACGAGTTTTGGGTCTGTTACCACATCGATGGAATATTGAAGAAAAATGAGGTGAATTCGCAGGAAAAAAAAATTGAATAACTTGCTCAATCGTGAAATTATGATTCTGGGCTGTGCAGAAGCCATGAGACTTATATAATTGGGCAAGATGAATTAATGGGGCTATTCTTCAAGCGGGTCCTGCAGATTGACGGAATATCTTGATAGTTATCAAATTATCTCGAGAATGTGTCGTATTAGGTGCAATCATGGAAAGATAATTTCGTTGGAAGATTTTATCGGACGAGAAAATGATCTCCTGACGTTTAATAGAACATTTCATCACTAAACTCCTGATTTAATTGGTCCGATGAAACTTATGGTTGTAATTTTTTCTGTATCTCAATCATGATACGGTACACTGTTGAAAATTTGTGTTTGAAATTTCCGGTACACTTTTGGGAAATTTTCATCGAATTTAATTATCACTGAAATTTCACGGAATTTTGTCATTGAAAATTCATAATTTCGTGGAAAAATCAAAGAGAACTGTCCATTTTAATTCCATTTTTCCCTGAAAATGAATAGGAAACCAGAAAATTCCGGTAAATATATTCTTGAATTTTCAGTACAGTGACACTGAATGCGATTTAGGGGGAGAAAAAAACATGAAATTTCAGATTTCACTGAAAATTCAATGTAATTTGGCACTGAATACTCATAATAGATTGGAAATTCAAATAAATTAAGGAATTCTTGTCTTTGGGCTGCTCAAAATTCTGGAATTTTACTGAATTTTCAGTGAAACCTGAAATTTTATGATTTTTTCCCCCTAAATCGCAGTCAGTGTCACTGTTCTGAAAATTAGTAGTCAACTGTCCATGAAATTTCATTTTTTTTCCAACAGCCTATATATCTGGTACACATTGTTTGTCCATTCCCACACAGAAACCAAAACTGAAACCTAAACTCTCGAAAATTGAAGCCCTCCGAAGTAAAATTATAAAGTGCGACGTTATTTTGCATCCATGCACTAAATTCTACGTTTAAAGTGTGATTTTCAATCAAAAACTCAAATGCAGGAGAATATCAGCGCAAAATCTAGATACAGCACGTCCCATGAAATCTTAGGTAATCCCATTCGAAAAGATAGGTGCGCTTCGACAAACAAAATCCTAAATCAATAAACCTCTGCTTCAAACGCTAGAGATGTGATTCATTCTATTGAAAAAAAAAAACTTTCCCAATTTACAATCATGTTCGGCTAGTTCTAAAATATATTCCATGTAAAAAAAGTCTTTTTTCGCAATCAAAATAGCTCATTTCGAAGTTGATGTAACCAACAATTTTATTACTTCATCTCTCGATACGTAAAAAACCGTGTGATTCAGATAAAAATACCTGAAATCAGGTAAAATAACGGAATGAGTACGTGCGGACGATCAGGACGCAGATGATCTCCGGAGGTGTCTAGACCTTGGGCAACGGGAGTTTCACTTTGCCACCAGCTGGTCTTTCATAAGAAGAATTTATCGAATTATTATTTGGAGGTTTCATTCTTGCTCACTTCAAACAGCTCCAAACTTACCGAGACTGAGGCCAATTCTGTTAAGATTTATTTGACAAAAGAAATGTAGAAGAGATACTTAGAAAGAGGATCAAGGAAAAAGGAAAAAAAATTGAGTTTATTTTTGTGAAGAACAGACGGAAAACAGTCTAGCCTTTTTCGTCAAGATTTATGTGAGGAGAGAAATGTAAGAGTGGAGGTATGGCCTGAGAAAAAAAAATGGACAAAAATTTCTCTCGTGTTGACTTATTGCCGAAAAAATAGGTCTATACCAGGAACAGGCGTTTGGTCCTCTTTCGACATTCTCAAGAGCTCGACCGTTTGTTATTCTCCGAAAAGTAGGCGTGAAAATGTTTATTTTTCATAGCTACGATCAAAATAATTCATAGCAACGATAATTTAACAGCCGAAGTGTTGAGGGGGGAAATTATTACGGAGATAATGGCGATGTTTCATTGTATGTTGCAATTTCCACATTTTTTTTAATGTCTCCGGACCGCTTGGAGGTTCTTGAATGGCCGAACACACTGTTCGAAAGTTTCGGTGTCGAGTGGCTCTTTCGACATCTATATAACTGTTGTCTGAGACGTTTTAACCATCTACCGTCGGGCGTCTATCGAAAATGAAAGGAAAAGTCTTCTTTTTCAGGACAAAAAATTTCATTTTCGTGTTCTGTATCGCGGCTTTTACTTGATGAACGAGACTTTCGAATGAATTCTCAAATGAAAGGTTAATGAGAGCGGGGAGTATGTGGGAGTCAATTAGTGAGGATTTAATTGATGAGGAAAATATTGGGAATTAATTGTCGATTAATGGTATTTACGTTGGAGTTACTCGACAACTAATTTCCCGGATTATATATAAAGAAGTCCGGTTTCACCTGACTTAGGTATCAGTGCTCAACCTAAACTGCGAGCATGCCATAGCATGCCAAAGCCATTGCTACGAGGAAGCCATAGCACTGAGGAAGTGTTTTTGGAAATTCATCCTCTAAGGAGGTGAAAAGGGGGCAAATATTTTTATACGATTTCGAAAACCACTCAAGTTGAAGACTTGAAAATTTGCGTGTAGATTCCTCTTTCGAAATTAATAGACACGTGTTTTTTCTTTTGTTGAAAATCAACCCCTGAGGGGGTGAGAAGCAGAAAGTTATGGAAACTTCCACAACTTTCTGGAGGTTTGTCGAATTTTCTAGAACATGATGAAATGCTCCTCAGAGATGATGAAAACTCAGTTTTCCTAATGATGTATAAAATTTGGAAATTCATCCCCTGAAGGGGTGAAAAGGGGATAAATATTTTCATGAGATTTCGAAAACCGCTCAAGTTAAAGACTTGAAAATTTGTGTGTAGATTCCTCTTACGAAATTAATAGACACGTGCTTTTTCTTTTTTTGAAAATCAACCCCTCAGGGGGTGAGAAGCAAAAAGTTATGGAAATTTCCACAACTCTCTGGAGGTTTCTCGAATTTTCTAGAAAATGATGAAATGTTCCTCACAGATGATGAAAACTCTGTTTTCCTAATGATCTATGAAATTTCTAGAACTTGCGGGGAAACTTGAGCATGTTCAACGGTAGTTATTATTAGACAAATTATTTCCATTCTGTTGACACATTTTCTTGCAACTTTTGGCATTTCCTGAAATGTTCTCCGTTTCTTTGAAAAATTTAGAATATTTCGGTTTTCTGTGAAGAATTGGGAAGATTCGGGCAGTGTTCTGAAAATTTTTAGGTGATTCCCAAAAATTTGATCAAATTCTTCCATCTTCGAGGAAATTATAGAAAATGCAGGAAAATTTAGGCAGTTTATGAAAATTTCGAGAGGGACGACTCCAGGGACGACTGTACCTGGTCAGCTTTTCCCTTAATTGAGGTTGTCGAGGGGAGGGGGGTGTTTAAAATGAAAAGTCCAATAGTACTAAAAATAACAAAATTCATCATAAATCGACTAAGTCGAAATGACTGATGAAATCCGCGTTACCCCTACCCCCGAACCTCTAAAATTAGCTCCGAGAACTTGGGAATTCTCAGGAAAGAACGAAAAAAATTTCTAGACAAAACAATGTAAAAATTTCCACAAAATTGAGAAAATCCCAGAAAAAGAATATCAACACAAACCGGCCGGCATTTTCATCTCTCAGAATCCACTCCCGAAAAACGTGACCCCTGCAACAGTTACCAGTAGCAGTTGGCCTGGGGGAAAGACACGTCTCCGTCAGTTGGTTAGTGAATGGGTAGGCGGGCAATCTCGGTTTTCCCGTTCTGCTCCTCAGTGGCATGCGTATTCGCGCGTTGTCTCAGTGAAGCCCGTGCGTGCCTCTCCGACTGTCGCGTCAAGCGCGTCTCTCGCTGTGGGCCACATCGTTAGCGCCAAGCGCGCCTTTTTCGACTTGTCACAATAAAATAAATAAACCTTTCATCCTAAACAATCAATTCTCATTGCAAAAAATTCTGCAGTTCAGTTAAAAATCATTCGAATGGACTTGATAAAATTGAAAGTGCAATCACGATTTTCGAGTTAAAAAAAACCCGTGCATCTATTTAATTGTCAGTTTGGAGCGGCTTTGATGAGTCTGTCGACCTTCGCACACATGTTAGAGTAAACCATTTGCGAATGGGATATTTTTGGGCAGTGGTTTACGTAAGAGGTATGTAAAATGCATCAAATGCACTCTAGAGCCATGTGTTCTATCACGAGACAAAGTACATTAATTCAGAGGTATAAAATATCCAAATTCTCACAACAGAAATCGAACTTACGATCAGGGAGAATTGAACGAATGAAAACTTTATACGAATCAATGAATAAATTTTCCAAGTGTCTAGAAACTTTGATCACTCAGTTTAAGGAATAGATTCAACGAAGAGGAGTGAGAAATGACATAAAAGTGCTGCATACATTGAAAACTAAGAGAGGAACTGAGCTTTCACATGCACCTTTCTTGGCTTTCGCAACAGCTCCACAACTCGTTTCCGGGTGGATCGGTAATAACTTTTAAACTTATTGGCGTTTTTTTTCTTAATGGAATGGGTAGTACGAGTGACATCGTCACGTATTCGTAACCAATATGCATAAACTTGTATATGCGTGTGGCACCTGATGGTCAAGTATGTAAGGTGATGAAAGTAAATTATACAACTCTCTAGTCGATCTCGAAAGAGAAAGGTGGAATATAATGGTCAAGATTTAATGTGGAAAACTCTCGGTTAAGGTTGAACATTTCAGCACTGACACGTGCCCCCTTTATTTACGATGGTTTTCGCGGTTTCGGAATTTTGGCAGAGGGATTTTGAATTCTCTGGAAAATACGAGAGATAGATAGATAGTGTCTTTATTGAGTAGTTGGAGGTGGTGCAATAGGAATTGGTAGGATTATCTTTAAAATTTCATTCGCTCATATAAATTCATTGAGAAACTCCTTCATTAGGCCCCTGCCTATTAATTAAGAGAATTGCCAATTGTGATCGCATAATGGCTTAATGAAGGAGCTTTTCAATTAATTAATTTGATTGTGGGAGACTGATCGGATATTTGGAGGTAATTTTGAAATTCCTAATCAATATTAATATTAGACCTGTTCTGTAAGAACCAGAAAATTTGGATAGAAATGCGTAAAGTTGTATTTTTCCATGCCAGGGATAGGCAATAATATTAGATTTTGACAATATTAAAAAGGATTATCTCCTTATATTGTTCAAAGTTTAACTCTGTTTAAGGATGTTCTACACCCTTTCTGCCAAAATTCAGGTTTTTTTAATTTTTCTGGCAAACTTATGATGGAATTGACGTGAAAAAATATAACGTTTTTGCGTTTTGTCATTATTTAATGACTGACGAAATTCTAAGGTGGTGCGAACATTTTCCTGCGTTTTCTCTAAACTTTTAAAAAGAATCACAAAACTGTAGAAAAAACGCATGAAAATTATCGCACCACTAGGCAACTTCGTGAGCCATTAAAGAATGACAAACCACAAAATCGTTATATTTTTTCACGTCACTCCCATCGATAATTTGCCAGAAAAATGAAAGGAACGTCAATTTTGGCTATAAAGGTGTCGAACATCCTTAACAAATTGAAAATATTATAGATTTTATTAGCTAAATTTTTCGATTGATGGTGAATAAAATATTTGATAATACTGAAATGTAGTTTTTTAGTTAACAAGATAATTCTAACTTTAGGTACTTGATTTTTGATTATCCAAATAATCGTCAATCTTCCTACCTAAATTATTGGCTGATAGAAGATTTAGAAATTTAAATGTACACATTGATGGTTACTTTAATATTTAAAATTTTAAGATTTATGTTAAAAATTGACAACTTCACAATTTAACGGTAATTACGATTGATTGAAAAGTTCAGTTTTCGGGACGGCTAAGCGTGCGTAAAGTGTTTTTTTTACCTCTTAACTTGACGCACGCCGTACGGAAAACAAGTGAGATACAAATATTATAAAAATTGTATTTTTCATTGTTAAACATGCGATCGGTTTTCACGGAGAGAAATTTTGTAGAAAAATTTTAGTACGAGTACTGGAAAAAATTACAATTGACCGGCTGCGAAAAATTCTAGTGCTGTTAAGGTAAAATTTCTTGGTATTTTTGGTAAAATTTCTGGGGATTTCTGTGAAATTTTCACAGAAATACAGGGAAAAATTCACGTTCTCTCCAATAAAATTTCTAGTGCCGGCACTAGAATTTTTTCCTGGCCGTCACTTTGCGCCTCTTTTCCCGTGCTAGCATTAGAATTTTTCCAAAAAATTTCTCTCCGTGTTCTTTTTGGAAATTGTATCATGTTTCTGAATAATTTGGGCATGAAATTCATTACATTTTCGCGGAAAATAACAACATTATTAAGAAATAAGCATAATTTTTTTTCCGTTATTAAATGCAATTGCTTATCCTATTCTAAAAAGAACATACACTTAAAGTCGATAACTATCGATATCTCGCAAGTCTGTCACGCTTATTCCTCATTGGTTCCAGTCGTCTGAGGCGGCAAATTTAATTCATGATTAATTTAATTTTGAGATTTTCAATTATGATTGTTACAATTACAGTCCTATTCTAAAACGAACATACACTTAAACTCGATAACTATCGATATCTCGCAAGTCTGTCACGCTTATTCCTCATTGGTTCCAGTCGTCTGAGGCGGCAAATTTAATTCATGATTAATTTAATTTTGAGATTTTCAATTATGATTGCTACAATTACAGCGCGCTATAGAGCGCGTTCGGTCTCGTCTGAAAGAAATTGTAGAACTCAATGGGATGATGTAAATGAAAATGGAAAAGTTTATGAGATTTCTCAAATTACTGTCTCAGAAAAAATTACATCAATGTAGAATTGGTAAATTATTCAGTTGTGTAGGGGAAATAACAAATGTTTAAAAATACATCTCACTATAATCGAAGAATAACAATGTAGAATGATTTGGGGTACGTGTGAATTTCATCAGAGTCTTATCGTGGGACATGCGTGTGGCGGTTGATAAAATTCTTGAAGCGATTGATACCTAGCACTGATTGCAAATAAGAACAGTGAAATCTTTCGCATTTCGAGAATTGATCCTCATGGGAGAGTCGCAATTTTCAATAAAAAAAGTTCGAATCTTGTCAAACTATTGTTTTTTTATTTGTTAAATTTTGATATTTGACAAAATTACTAACATGAAATTGGATTGAATTTCAATATCAGAATTATTTAAATTTGGATGTTTTTCACATTCTTTTTCAAAATTTTTTATGCCTCACAACTCGGGGTCATTTTTGAGAATGATGAAGTAGTTGATCCCCTTTATCAATCTCAAATTACTGATGATTAAAAATGATCCATCTGACCCCGCTGTCTCTTAATAAAATCCCTAATGGCGAATTACTGATGAAGCGAAGCGATATAACGTTTCAGTCGAAATTTCCAGTCATTTTTCAGGCGAAAATTTTATGTTAAAGAAGAACGACTCAAACTTTTTTTTGAGAAAAAAAGATTTTTGAGAAGTTGCTGTATCTCGGAAACTACTTGACCGATTGAGCTGAAATTGCGCCCGGAAGTCCTCCAAAGTAGTACCAATTATGTGACGAAATTTCAGATTTTTAGCTTCAAATTTAGTTCATTTTTCTGTGATGATTCATAAAAAAAATTCCAAAAATTCGCACACACATCCGGACATCCAAACACACATTTTCCAAAAACATCATATCTTCGCGTTTTATGACATTCTACGTCATTTCCCGGAAAAATTAGAAAGTCGTTAGAATGAACGATTACAAAGCTTTCATTTGAAACTAAAAATCATTAAGTGTCAACGAAAATATTAGAAAATCAATCCAGGAATCGGGAATTTTCGGAGAAATAAAAACACTATGATCTTATTGTCAAAGATGCGACGTTTCGCTAAATATATTTGAGCTTCACCAAGCTCTAAACAAATAAAAAACAAGCATGGTAAAAATTGCACTAAAATTGTAGGAGGCATTGCAGATACCCCTAAAATTTATTCCTCAACTGCGTCATACCTTGACTCAATAAATTTTTAATCACGCTATTATTTATTAATTAGCTATTAGGATTCTCGTGTGGAATCTTGTCACTTATATTATGAACAATAAAATAAAAAAATATAAACGACAAAAAAATATAATCGCTGAACGAAGTTCACCCACAAAAAAAACTCTCCAACGATAAAAATCGTTAAAAAATCATTTAATTCGTATCGTTTGTCTTTAAAATACTGAAGACGTAAAAAAGTCCCCGTTGCCGCAGCCCCTACATACCAAGCCATCCATAACATTCTTAAGATCTTTTTTTGCATTCTGAAGAGTCTACTTAGGTTTACGACATGTCTGACAGGGACTCATCTCTGACGCTCGTGGATAGAATAAAATTACATATCAAGAACAATACGTAATGAAGTGTATTTAATAACGCTTTCGGAATGATTATAAAATCATTTCAATGGATTTTGACGGGTAATTTCACTTGAATATGCACCGAGAATGATCGTTAAAGCCCAGAGGTCATTGGTAGATGCAGACGACGTGGGATAAATGATAGAGAATCGCGTTTTATAGCCGTGGAAAGTCGACGACCTTGACAGACATTGGTTACTTGACGCCTACCCTGATGCCTCAGTGCATCCATCCAAGTACCATCTCACTGGTGGAGAACGAAAATAATGAAGAATAATCATTTCAACATCTTCCTTCAATGACCCAAATGTTGGGTAAATTGTCGATTATCATTCATCTGTTGTTTATGTGTTGGAAGGGAAAAAAATGATGTTGTTGGGAAAATTAGTATTTTCGTAAGGGGAGATCGTGGTGAAATTATGAAGATCGTGGTCTTATCTGAGAGTTGTGGGGCTTTTGAGGGGCTTTTGTTGGGGCCCTCGGAAATGAGGAAAAGGAGCAAATTAGAAGAGGTTTCTACACTGAGAGAAAAACAGCAGAGTTCTCAAAGAAGTTTTACTTGGGCCAAAGAAATCATTTGTTAAAAATGACCTGAGATTGCAATTTTTTATTGCCAAAGTAGATTCTCTTTACAAAAAAATTGCAGGCGGCTGTATCTTCGATAAAGCTGTAATTGTACGTGGATACGTCCATGGTCTTTCCTTTTTCCTCGAATTTCTAGCACTAATGTCTTTTAGTCCACATTTACTCAATTTTTGCAATCTACACATTGAAAGATAAAATATTAGTCTTGAATTAATCTAAGTGATCTTAATTGTTAGCTCAGAAATATCGCTCAGTCGATGCAGCATATGAAACTGTTTGGATCACACTCGAAATTTACTGTTGAACAGTAAAAATTGCGAGTCGTATAGTAGAAAGTGGTAGAATAAAAGTAAAATTTGATTTGACATGACTAAAAATTCGGTTCAGATGAATCAAATTTTTAAGTTGTTTCGGTATGGTCCGGGATTACTATGTTCACATTGTAATTTTTGATTTTATACTCTCTCCGTGTAGATTTCTCAATATTACTATGTCCTTGGATGATCAATTCTTCGGATAAGTATATAATTCAGAAGGTGAAATATGTCTAATCAGTTGTCCAGAGTGGATTTTTTGTGAATATCCTTGGATTTGACAGAGATCGAAAAATCCTCTAAAGCAGCGTGTTGTACAAAATTTCCTAATATTTTTTATTCATAGAGCGGTTGCGAAATTTGATAATTCCAAGGGAAAAATTCCACAAACGAATAGCGACTGTAGGCGATCGACTCGGTAGAATAAACAACTTTGTGTTTATTTCAACTAATCGACTATTTCAACGGTTGGATAAACCATTGAATTAGTTCAAGGCAAAGTAACAAATGGAAAAATCGAGTCAATTTTTTCTGTCACTCAAATAGAAGTGCTTGCAGACAATCTAGCTTGATGACAAGATCAATAAATAAATTCTGGTAGATAACTAATGTCTAATTTGCGCGGAACGAAAATAGATTAAAACGCTGAAAATGACATTTCAAGTCCAGGAACACCATCAATCGTCACATGTAATAAAATATTCTTATTGTTGGATAATCATCATTATCGCACAACTGGTATGTGGAACGGTGCTATATGTGGTTGAGCAATTTGTACGCAATATTTAAAAAAATGGTGTAACTCGTCTGGCTAGTCACATTGAACTTCAAAATCGTGACTTTCACTTTCATTCACGAAACCCAACACCTGCGGATCGAATAACTTTATTTCGTAAATTTTGTGTTCTCAGATTTGTGACATTCAACCAAAGTACCGAAACTTGAAGTAAGAAAGATGCTGGCAAAATTATTTGAGATACACGGCAGCTTCTGCGCCGGTCATCCACTGGAGGTAATTGTAACGACGTTTACACTGACAGCGTGTATGCTGAATTTCGAAACGGGGAATAATGCGGCCAGGGAGGGAAGATTGTCTGGGACATCTTCGCATTGTTGGAATGGCAGATGCAGTGGAGATGTGAGTGCAATTTCATTGATTAATTAATAGGGGTGTGCAGTAATTAGTAGGGGTAACTAGTTGTTCCTTTAATCAGTTATTTCTCAGATTTAAAAGTAACGAGTACACGGAGAGAAATTCTTTAGAAAAATTCTAAAAGTGACACTAGGAAAAATCTCAATCTACCGGCTGTGAAAAATTCTTGAACTGTTAAGATAAAATTTCTAGGGATTTCTGTGAAAATTTCATGTAAGAACGGGAAAAATTCACGCGCTGCTCTGTAAAATTTCCAGTGCCGCACATAATTTTTCGATGGCCGTCACTTTGCGCCCTTTTGATGTAGCGTTGCCGAATTCACTCTACACTGGCCGGGCGCGTTTAGCGAGTCCCCGGCAACGTCGCGTCATGGGCCATTTCATTTAAGGGGAGACGGAACCGCTTTGTCTACATCAAATCTTAGAATTGTGTTTTCTCCTGCAATTATTAATTTCTATCTATGAAATTACTTTATCGACTCGATTATCGCATTGTTGAGTTAATGAAGTAGTTTAATGAATGAAAAATAATAATTGCAGGAGAAAACACAATTCTAAAGATCCATATAAACGCAGGGGTTTCATTTCCCCTTAACACGGGAAAAAATCAGTAGCGAACCGGTAAACCGGTCTAAGTCGATTTGGACTATTGGCCAGTTTTCAACAAATATCTCGAAATCTAGGGGAGATGGCAAAATTTTTGTCATGACCTTTTTTGTAGCCCTTAATTCGCTCTACAAAAAAGGTCATTACGAAAATTTCATTATTTCCCTTAGATTCGGAGATATTCATGGAAAACTCAGCTAACGGCCAAGTCGACTTGAATCGTTTTACCGTTTCGCTACTGAAATAATTCATCTGTTCGCAATAATTTGTTTTCTTTAGGAATTTTGGGAAATATGTTGTTCTAATAACTACTATAATTATTTTGACACTTTTATTGACAAAGTCAATTTTTTTTTTAATTTTTCCGGTGAGCCAGTCAATTGTAATTAATGATAAACGACGCGCGGCGGGATTTCCCTCATAGGGTGGCCAATCTAGGATTAAATGATAGTTCAGACGATAATTTGTTCACCCTACGATTCATTTTTCCTACAGGATCAGAATGCTGTGGATGTCATTGTGATGACCATCATAAGATGTCTGGCAGTTCTCTTCAGTTATCATCAATTCCGCAATCTACAGAAACTTGGTTCTAAATATATTTTGGGTGAGTGATTTTGAATATAGATATCATACAATTTTGAAACTCCCGATTCCCTCATGGGAAGTAGGAAATTGTGCGCTTCCTCAGGAATTAACTTGCTGTGTCTTGAGATCTTAACACATTCTTTTTTCCTCGAAAAATAATCGTGTGAGAAAAAAACCACCATTGATAAAAACCGGATCTTGTACGAGCCCATGGTGGCATCATGTGAAAGCCTACCGTGTGCCCAGTGAAAGTTACGATGGAAAGCAATGGCTCGTGTGTACAAACTGAAGCATGCTGGGTAATTTTCGCCATGCCCCATGCATGCACAGATTACCGAATTACCAAGACATTTCTGGTGAATAATTACTGGGAACTCTAGCCAAAAAACACTGATTTTCACTTTCGAACGGAAATGAAGTTTTGTAATCGTTAAAATTCAAGTTTTCGATGTTGTGTGGTCTATCAACTCGTTATTATCTGGAAAGTCAAAATGCATATTTTCATCGGACTATCTGTAAAACGGCGTTTTCTGTACTGCTTCTCACGATTTCTCGTCTGGGAATTGGTATTACATACTTCCCAAACTCGAAAACTTGAAAATCACTGCAGAAAAATATTGTTCCTGGGCTGTTGCGATGGGGTTTTTTTACTCGTGTGGTTGGCCACTCCGCGCCTACGGCTCGGAGGCCAACGCCACACGAGTAAAAAACCCCATCGCAACAGGCCGGAAAAATACTATTGACGGAGACGAAGCGCTGAAAAATTAGCCTCGTTATTCGGCCGCAATAGTCGAAATATCTCGAAACTGCCTGACCGCTAATCCTCAATTCTGATTGGTCAATCCGTGACACGAAGTTATTCACAAAAAAAAACACGCGGCATTTTCATATTCTTCAGTGGTAATTTTTTTTTTCACGTCATATATATATAATATATATATTTCACATGTATATATATCATCGGTGGAATTAATAAATTCTGTTCTTTTATGGAGACTGATTATTTAAAAAAATTGAAGATAATTAATTGAAAATGAAAAACTCTTTATAGATTCTTTTACTCTACTTCGCAATTCACTTCAATCGTTAGTCGAATTCTCTTTGATTCATTATCAATATTTATAAGGTATTCATGAGAAAATGAAATTCAATGAATTCCATTTCTTCATTTCAACAAATGAACAGGTCAGCGCGGGCAAGAGCGCACATAGATCTTGTAATATAAAACAATGACTCCTACTATACGAGAAAAACGCGGGAAAAATCCATTCGGAAGTATATCGCTTATTTATTCATAAAAATTACTATATCATGATAATGATATACAGTAATTACATAATTACTCACTTGTTTTATGAAACTTTGAACTCCTAGGCTTCGTCTTGGGAATGTGGATAAGATGTTTATGAACAGGAAATTTGTCCCAAAGCTCGGTTTAATTATTGTCGTGAATTCAATTAAATGAATCGAGATGAATAACTGAATGTATTATCTGTAATTATCAGGTATCGCTGGGCTGTTCACCGTTTTCTCCAGCGTTGTGTTTACAACGAGTGTCGTTAACTTCAGTCGCAGTGACATGGCAGATCTCAAGTAAGTTGAAGCTTGAAATTACGGAAGTTTCTTCGGAAGCGGATATAAAAGTTGTTCTCACATTTGATGTTTAGGTGTCCGATGGATATTCACTTTTCTGTGAAAACAGAGTTGTTTTTACCGGTATCCATTTGATTTGAAAAGTCTGAGGATAATACTGTTATTATTTATCCAGAGATGCATGAAAACGAGAAGAGACCAACAGAAAATATAGTTTTACTCGAAAGGGAGACGTTCAATAATTTAATGAAGATGTTTTTGCTGTTATAAATTATCTCTGAAAGTTGGCTCAACGAAACATCAGATAATATAGAATTTCTTGTTCTTCGAATTGAAATTATTTTGTGATAGATTCCCCGGAACGTTTTTCACGAGTTGCCCCAATTTTTCAAGCCTTCCCGGGATTCAATCGTGGAAAAGATCGAGATAGCCATGGCACTTGATTCTTAATTATCAATCTTTCCTCAAATGTTGAGAGTAATTAAATTTTCCAGGAATGCCCTCTTCTTTTTCCTGCTCTTGATTGACCTCAATAAAGCTGGGGTGTTAGCCCAGTTAGCACTGAGCTCAAGAAGCCAGGAGGAAGTACGTGCGAATATTGCGCGTGGTATGTCTCTCCTTGGGCCATCAATCACCCTGGACACTCTTGTAGAAACCCTGCTGATAGGCATCGGATCACTGTCCGGTGTCAAACGGCTGGAGGTCCTCTGTAGTTTCGCCTGTCTTGGGGTCGTCGTTAATTACATCGTCTTCATGACGTTCTACCCTGCTTGTCTATCACTGATACTCGAGGTGAGTATCACATATTCATACGTAAAACCAATTCAACGGTCTGAGGGGCTACTCCATGAAATTAATCGCTCTAAAAAAATTATTGTATACAGTCAATGATATGTGTGATAAACACATTTTCTTGTAATCTCGATTTATTTTAGTTTTGCTGAAAAAAAAATCACAAAAAAGCCTATTTTTTCGTCCTCTAGAGTGGCCTAACCCCTTAAGTGACACCATGATTTCGAAATGACTCTAGGTGAATTCATCCCGGACTACTCATCCCAAAACAAATCAATCCCACGACAATTTCATCCCAAACATCAAATTCCGATGGAATTTTTCACGGTCACAACAATAATTCAGGGAGAGAAAAATATTAACTTTATTTTCAGAGAAAAAGGCACTAAACACAACATCAAAATCAATCAGATACTTCACGAGTCCCTCCTAGTATTGTTTACCCAACCGAGCAAGGGATTAACAGGAAATATAGCAAAAAAACGTTCAAATCATTCTTATCCATCTCAACTAACATTAGTCAGATAGGCCACAAGTAATAGACCACAGCATCGATTTGCAAATTAGTTAAAAACTTGAAAATTAATCCGATAAGTCACGCGCTTCAGCCTTGCGCCTTTGGTAGCAAGCCTCCCTAGAACGAATACACATAATTGACGACGCGAGCGGTACTTGTGGTTGCGAAAGCCAAGACATTGACCACATTCTGTGACACTGCTCTACCCTGAACAATGCAAGGACAACACTCATTAGAGAATTGAGACAATGTAAAAAAGAGTGGAGTGGAGTTCCACTTACGAACTCAATCACCCCCTTGTTGAAAACAGCAGATCTAAAAATCCTTGAAATGTTACACAAATTTATTGGAAATAGTAGAATGAGTATTTAAGAACATACACACATGAGAAAATTAAATAGATAAACCTAGCGAATTCACTAGACAATTCTATTGGATTTCTATTGAACTTTGTATTAGTTTTTGGCCGATTCTGTTGAAAGGTTTAATAGAAAATATTCTGTAGAAAAAGTCGATAGTATTCGATTTTTCTACATAACTTATTCTCTTGAGATATTTTTTCTATATAATTTCTTCACCTCCAATTTTCCAAGTTTTTTCCATTCTTTTGTTTCCATTTTTCGTTCCTTTTCATCAAGAAAGTTAAACAAAAAACAAAATTTGAGCCAAGGCAATTCTGCAGGAAATATCTCAATAGAATAAGTTGTATAGAAAAATCAAATTCTATTGACATTTTATAGAATATTTTCTACTGAACATTTCAATAGAATCAACAAAAAACAAATAGGAATCCAATGGAAATGTCTAGCGAAATCGCTAGGTTTTTGCAATAAATTTTTTCATACATGTCGTTCTCAGATTAAGTGCAAAATATTTACTGATAGCGAAAATAAATCCCGAGGATTTTTGCACTTCAACCAATAAAAAAAACGACTTGAATATCCTCAATTACTGTTCTTTTTTTAAAGCTATCTCGAGGCAACCATGGAATGGGAACACTCAGTGCTGACAAGATACTGATGCTTCACTCACTGAATGAAGAAGACCAGAAACCAAATCCTGTAGTTGAGCGTGTAAAGTTGATCATGATTGCTGGACTCTTCGTCGTCCATGCACACAGGTATGAACAACACATAGATAGATCACACTCTCTAATTTCGCAACATCCGTTCCACATATAAAAAATGATTTTCTTTTTTCATCTTTTATTTCTTGTACTTCATTGCATCAACTGGTGATGGCGATTATTCCATCAATTACTGAATAATGCGAACGCGTTGAGATTGAGATTAAATACAGGGGAATGACCTTGCTCTTCAAGGGTAGAGAAACTGGATTAAATGATGTATATGTGCTAGTGGGTACTTTTACTTTTGTGCCGACTACTCTGGGATAGTACGAGGATTGTTGAAATTAGATTTGGAGAGATTCACTTCGAATATATGTATGGAACCATTTCCGAAGCAAAGCATTGAGACAATTTTCTCGGGATTCATTAACTCTTCATTTTTGAAAATGTTATCTTGGGAATATTGGGAATTCTCAAAAATGAGTTCAGTCTAAGTTTGTACGCTGGGAACCTGAGGGAAATACCTGATTAATTTTGAAGCTCGAGGGGTATTCGGAAGAGAATTTTTCCATCCAAATTTCGGCCAAGAGAGTTGCACTATGAGACAAAATCTATCGTTAACCAGGAAAAGTTTGGCACTCGAAATTAAGACTCCAACATTAAGGGTCAGATTAAGGGCCATGAGTGTCAGAATAAGGGTCATGAGTGTCAGATTAAGGGTCACAACATTAAGGGTCTAAATAAGGATTACAAGGGGCAGATTAAGGGTCTAAATAAGGGTCCAAATAAGGGTTATGGGGGTCAAAATCCAAAAGCCAGAAAGTAAGGGCCACCAGGATCAAAATAAGCGTCACGAGGGTTATAATCAAGATCCAGGGTCCAAATAAGGGTCACAAATAAGGGAAATTAAGACTCCAAAATTAAGGGTCAGATTAAGGGCCATGCGTGTCAGATTAAGGGTCACAACATTAAGGGTCTAAATAAGGATTACAAGGGGCAGATTAAGGGTCTAAATGAGGGTCACAAGGGTCAGAATAAGGGTCCAAATGAGGGTTATGGGGGTCAAAATCCAAAGGCCAGAAAGTCAGGGCCACCAGGATCAAAATAAGCGTCACGAGGGTTATAATGAAGATTCAGGATCCAAATAAAGGTCACAAGAGTCAGATTAAGGACTACAAATGTCAGATTAAGGGTCCAAATAAGGGTCTCGTTATCTCTCTATACTATAAAAATCCAAAACTAAAATCCAAAATCGACTTCTAGTGTTGAAAATTTGGGCCTCGAAACTAAAGGTCAGAAATGAAGGGTCAAAATAAGTAAAGTAAGGGTCACGAGGGGTATATTGAGGATCAGAATGAGGGTCCCTGAGAAAAATCGCAATATCGATTGAAAAAAAAGGCTAGATAAGCTGCGGAATCCTCCTATCTAATTTCCCAAGTTTTTCAATTTGGAATTCTTTCGTATTTGGATATCGAAATCTTCGTGACGAACTCATCTGAAACTGACGAAATTAGCAAAAGAAAAACTCGTCCCACATTTTCTCCTCAACCCACTCATCAACGAGACGATTGAATGATTGACATGTCAACTTGAAGCATCTTATCACTCCCCCACTCAAATACCCAGCGAATAAATAAATCGTATTAATACTACGAACTATTCAATGGCCATAGCGAATTTCCAAGTACGAATGGTAATATCTTCTCCGAAAAAGCGCCCCTTTGTGCGTCAATGAGTCACTGTTGAGCGTCAGTGGTATTATGTTTGAAAATAACTTTCAAATTTTGTGGTTCATTCAATACTTGAACAACCCAACGAACCAGTGTTATCGATGATGATCTGACCTATGACACTATATTATTCGGTTCCCCTTTTCTCAACTTTTTTCCCCCTACTGTTATTCACTGGAAATGCGCGCATTGTCGGGTGTAGTCATTGTCAATGACTCTTCAATAGGTCAGGTTCATCACGTAACAGATGCCTTTCATGACAAAACGAATTTTATGTTGGAAAAAAAAATTCATCACATCTGATAACTTTCATTTCCGCAAACGTTGGTCGGATTTTTTTCCTAGTCACATTATAATGCTAATTCTCCTGGGTATCCTTTATTTATCTAAAAATAAAGACACTTGGCTTTTTTTGGAAGTTCAATATTGCATGAGAGTGGTAATAATAAACCATTGAACTGAGTTGAAATAGTTACATTGGGTGAAGGGGGTAACTAGGAATAAATTTTAGCCTGGAGTGGGTAGTTTTTTCTCCGAGCCATTGAAATTTCTTTTCAAATGTTTGAGATGAACAGTGGATTCAGTATTCGAGAGAACACACGAACATTCAGATGGTGCCTTTATTGTAAGAGTTGGAAGAAGAGTAATTGAAAGCTTTAGTTTTTTTATGTTCTCTTTACATCGAAGTATAATTGGTGTTGTTATACTCGAATTGACAGTAATTCTTTACACGTGTTTGTGGAGAAGTTGAATTTTTTTGATACGTTTTTGATGAAAATTTTGTAGTGGAGTGGTGAAATGCAGGAGACGTGTCCGAAATGAAGTCGCAGATTATTTTATAAATATCGGTAGAAGAGACTTAGGAATATTTTAAAGCCTGGGAAAAGTATTTGAAGTTTTAATCTCAACTTGATAGTTTCCAAGATCGTTCACAAGTATTCGTATGAAATTTAGAACTCATTGAAAATAACTACTCATATTGTGTCTCGACCTTTGGGCCTAATATTTAGGTCTGCATTCCCGTCCGCGACTCCTCCACGGATGACCCATGTATTTGAGTAAAGTTATTTCTCTTTCTTACAGTCGTTGGCCATTCAAGCACGGGGATGGTGATGACACAGTAGAGGGAACGGCGTCGCCTATAAACTCCCACATAATAATAAACAATCACAATAAATCAAAAACCCCAGAGGACTTCAAAGAGCACTTGATGAATTGGCTGTCAGTGAGTGCTGATAACATAGTCATTCTCATTCTCCTTCTCGCTCTCGCGTTGAAGTTCATTTTCATCGAGGACAAGGGTGATATTGCAAAGCAACTGAGATTCAAGGAGGAAGAGGAGCACGAGGAGAGTCCCGCGCAGGAAGACACGTCCATGGAGACGTTGCATGCATCCTCTCTGGATATGTCCATCAGGCAAAGATTTGGCCCCATAATGCCCAATATTCACACACCAGTATTTCCGTTGTCTGGAATGGGGGACAATTGGATGGTGGTTGGAGATGATGCGCAGGTCGAAGTCGAGGATAAGGAGGTCCAGACTGATGGCAAACTACTAAGTGGTAATGGGGTGGAAACTTCTGAGGAGGAGAAAGAACCTAGGAGCATTGAGGAGTGCCTAGCAATCTATCGTTCTCAGGTAAATGGCGAACAATTTGATTATCAATTACTGATAATTGGCAATAATTAGCGTATTATTTTCGTCGGGAACTAATGAAATTGTTAAAGAAATGTTGACTTTGTGTGTTAATTCAGTTATAAAATAACGAGGTAGTTAACATTGAAGAAAGGATAAACGACAAAATTTAGGAGAAAAACCAGCGCATTTGCTAGAAAATTCTATTGGAAATTCTATTAGCTTTTCGCCGATTCTATTGCTAAAATCCACAGCTTTTCTGCAATAGAACCCATTTTATTTATTCTACGAAGATATTTTCTCACACTGCTTCCTATTTTCATTTGGATGATAAAGTAAATGCCACAGGAATTTGGGTATAAAAAATTGTTTCGTTTATTTTGTGAAAGCTGTTGCGCTTAATGTTCCTTAATATTCAATACATATTCAATATACGAAATGTTCAGTTTTTTTATGTGATGAAAAATCCAGTGGAAATTGTAATATACTTTAGATTATGAAGATGAAAAAACAATAACTGCGGGGCAAACGAATGATACACAATTAATTTTTCTGCACTAATTATTCATTTTTAGACATAGAAACGAGTAATTAATACGTCAAAAACAAACAATATACGTTGAACAACAAACAATTAATTTTTCTGCAATAATTATTCATTTTTAGGCATAAGACCAAGTAATTAGTACGTCAAAAACAATAAAAAACAAGCAATATACGTTGAACAATGAATAATTAATTTTTCTGCACTAATTATTCGTTTTTCGACACATACAATCGTTCTTCAATGCATGAGAAATCCCCCTCCCCTAGCCCGCGACCTTTAAAACTCCCTAGTCTCCCTCAAACGAAAAATGCTAAAGTCTCCCAAATAATTTCCAGCTGGGTGCTGAAGCTCTAACCGACACCGAGGTAATTCAGCTCGTAAAGAACAAAGACATCCCCGCCTACCAGCTTGAGAAAGCGGTAGGTGACATGGAGCGAGGAGTGGGAATCCGTCGCCTCCTGATAATCGAATCAGGTAAATTCACCGACGAGCTGAACCACCTTCCCTACAAGAACTACGACTACACGAAGGTCCTGGGTTCCTGCTGTGAGAACGTGATCGGTTACGTGCCAGTGCCCGTAGGAATAGCTGGGCCACTCTTGGTTGATGGCGAGCTCATTCAGATTCCAATGGCAACGACAGAGGGTTGCCTAGTGGCCTCGACAAATCGTGGCAGCAGAGCGTTGATAAAATGTGGTGTGACGAGTCGTGTTGTTGCTGATGGAATGACGAGAGGTCCAGTCGTCAGATTTCCGAACATCGTGCGTGCGAGTGAGGCGATGGCTTGGATGCAGGATACCACGAATTTTGCTGAGATGAAGAGGTGTTTCGATGAGACAAGTAGATTCGCACGATTAACTAAGATACACGTGAGAATCGCTGGTAGACATTTGTTCATAAGATTTGTCGCCAAAACTGGTGACGCTATGGGAATGAATATGCTGTCGAAGGGGACAGAGAAGTCACTGCAGTATGTCCAGGAATCATTCACTGACATGGAGATACTGTCGCTCAGTGGTAATTTCTGCACTGATAAGAAGCCAGCTGCTGTCAACTGGATCGAGGGGAGGGGCAAGAGTGTTGTCTGCGAGGCTATTGTGCCCGCTGAGGTCATCACGTCTATTCTGAAGACGTCTGTGCACGCTCTCGTTGATGTTAATATTCAGAAGAATTTGGTGGGCTCAGGCATGGCTGGCAGTGTTGGTGGGTTTAATGCACATGCTGCCAATATTGTTACCGCGATTTACATCGCAACGGGACAGGATCCAGCCCAGAATGTCGGCAGCAGCAACTGCATGACCCTCATGGAACCCTGGGGGGAGGATGGGAAGGATCTGTATATTTCGTGCACCATGCCGAGCATTGAGATTGGCACTATTGGAGGGGGCACTGGACTTCCTGCGCAGAGTGCCTGCTTGGCTATGCTGGGGGTACTGGGGGCTCATGAGAGCGATCCTGGGGAGAATTCTAGCAAACTTGCGAGAATCGTTTGTGCCACTGTTCTTGCTGGGGAATTGTCACTCATGGCTGCACTCACTGCCGGTCATCTAGTCAAAAGTCATCTCAGACATAACAGGTGAGTTTGTGGGGGATTTTTTTGCCGATTTAATTTCGGGATATTTTTTTTATTTTCAGAAAAAAACTTGCAAGATAAGTTCAGGACGGACAAGTGGGAAATTGTTCTAAAATTGCATATGGGATAGTTATTTTGCACATCATTTCCTTCTATTATGTACTATTCATTGTTTAGTTCATTTTATTAAGTTGAATAAAATTCTCAACTTACGGTTGAACTTAATTTTTACGGTTCTATCTCAGGGGTTTCGAATATCTGGGATTTTTTCGCAGGGCATGGCCATTTCTACTGAATGGAAAATTATTATTCTCGTCAGTATTCGCAATAATGAAAAAAAGTTGATGAACAAAAGATGAAAAAGAAAAATTTGATAAGAAAAATTTTTTTTGCTTGAATTGCGTCAAACTGTCGTTTTTCGACTGTTTCATTTTGCCCCACTCTGTCCTATTATCACTGAATTTAAGACCCCAATGGTACATTAAAAAAATAGATTTGCTTATTGAATTTTAGGGATTTTTCTGTTGAAATTAAGTAACCAATTTCTTATTTTTACTACAATGTCCGCTAAAAACATGAGTTTCTCACAGTCACCAACTGGGTTTGAGAAATTAAAAACTAGAAATTTTTCTTCTCAAATATTAAACGCATTAGCAGGTGAAATACCGAGGGCCATTTTACTCGATAATTGGAAGGTGCGAAAAATTCTTCTCAATTTTTTTAAAATCCTTTACGAGCATATTTAAGTGGAAGTCGCAGCTTGAATGTAATCTGTGACTTTTTGGGGAAGTTTTGGCAGTCTTTAGTGGATGAAAATTATTAAAGTACTTAATTATTAAAATACTTAATTATTAAAGTAATAAAAACTCAATTCTCCTTTAATTCCCACAATTTGCTTCCTGAAAACTAATTCATGTAAATTCTGTTTTGTTTCAGATCGTCAACAACAGTTGGCAAACCTGTAAAATTGACGAGAAATGAACGTTCACGCTTAACTGTGCCAAATATCCTACCAGCCCTTCAATCCCTTTGCACTGACAAAAGAGACCAATCCTAGCATTAATGATCCTACAATAATAGTGTGCTATACTATCTTTTCGTAAATAGTTACATTTTTATTCTGTAAGTTGTGAATAATACGTGGGAAATGCTAATGAATTAATTTTTAAGGAGAATTATGGGACTGTCTTATTTAAAATTCAATCGATGAATTTCAACGTACGTTATTCATTAGTCTATCGCCAATTCCTGTGTTAGGCATTGGTACTAATAGTGCTGCGTATTTTTGTTAACATCATCGAATTTATTTTCTTGTATGAGAGTTCATGGGAACTGTAGGAGGAAAATATCACAGAAGTGGTCGAGTGAAAGCAATAGAACGGGAATTGTTGAATACCAAAAATGCTGCCAGAAGAGGGAAGGAAAAAATTAAGAAGATTGAGAATAAAATCGAGAGAGATAGGATTGAATTTTTGTGCAATACTAGTTAATTATTTTTTAAATATTTTCATTAAAACAAGAGAGAAAAAAATGTGAGATTTTTTTTCTGCAAATCGTCTTGCCTTTAATGATGAGTTGATGAGTGACTTGATTAAGTTTTAACTTTATGGAAGACTTTTTCATTCGACGTAGATGCAAAAATTTCTCCGTTAATCTCTCGTCAGTCCTATTTCCTTTCGCTCTAGATAATTCAGGTTATAAAGCTAATTAAGAATGTAATTATGCAGAACAAATCTATTTCAATTTTCATTAAATTTGAATAAATTCAATTGAGAATATAGGAAAACTGGGTTTATTTTTCTTTACAATCTAGAGATCATTCCAAATGTACAGTTACAATAAATTAGAAAACAAAAGTTAATTCTCCAGTGGAACAGTGAGGAGATCAAAAAATTTAAAGTAGATTATTTTGTCGATATCTCTGAAATCCGTAGGTTTGAAGAAAAATGTCTGGACCTATTTTCCTCTAAGCCTCATCCTCCTGAAGATATTTGCAGAATGATCTAGTGTATTTTGAATTCATCTCCTTCTTTAGCCCTTCATTACTCAACGGATAATAATACTGGAAAATTATCCAATAAATTTAAAATTAGAGTTGATTTCTACATTTTTTCGTAAGTTTCTTCATATTCACATTCAGTGCACGTGTGAGTATAAGTATCATCATCTTCATTGTACGTATCAGGGCCAAATTTGTGGACATGCGTTGCCTTCGTAGTTCTATTATACATTGAGCTCCTCATTTCCATCCTCAACTCCTTAACTTTCTTGTTAAATCTTTTAATCTTCGTCTCCTGTCTCTTGACGTCGCGTTTCTCCTTCTCCTCGAGCAACGCCTCCTTCGAGCCCCAAACCTCGAGGGCTCGCTTCTCTATCTGAAGATGGAGGTACAGCTTCATGTGGCCGTGAGCTGCTCTGTGTGGATTTGCTTTGAGCATGAATTTCAGTGGTGGCTCTCTCAGATCCAGGTCGTGATCACGCAGCAGATAGATTTCTTTCGCCTCGGTTTTAGTTATCAGGGTGTGCTTATCCTCGCGATCTCTGCATGAGTCACAGACGCTGTAATCGAAGGTCTTCATGAGGTACGAGTCTTGGAATTGCTTCTTACATTCTTCGCATGTTGGTAGGTCGATTAAGATTGGGCTTGGCTCTTCCGCCAATTGCAACTGAAACAGAATATTTCAATTTAAGGCCCGGGTGGATTATCTTTCGAACGTGACATTAGTTTTTTTTTTATTTTGATAATCTGAAATGATCTCCAATTGCTATTCAGATTTACATGGCCCTGGAGTCTCCAAAAATTATTATTGTACAATAAAAAAGCGGTGAAAAAAAGCTAAACATTTTTATTGGAAATGGGATAATTTAAACAACTAAACCGGTAAATAAGTAAAATAACTTTATTAATTAGACTTTACTTAATACGTTCGGAAGACACATCCGCTCTTTACCAATTCCTCTGAGGAACTGAACAAAGTGACAAAGGGACACAACATCTTGGGCCTCTGGCGACGTGGACATAAGACCTATTCTTTCCCGTTATTCTTTTATCTTGTTTTCTAGTCCGCGGACGCCTCAATCCTTTTTGTATTTCTTTTTATTATTCATTTCGCCCCAAAATCTTTAATAAACAGTTATTCATTATTAAATGTGCCCATTCTTTACAATATTCTTTCCAACGCCAGCTTGACGGGGTTCGATCGTAATATTTAGACCTGTATTCGCCAGAAATGATTACCATTTCTTGCTCCAGCTCATCATCCTCCTCAATTAAAAAACCACCTCCACTGTCGACGACTTTTTTCCCCTGGACCTTCAGTTGCCTGCCCTGTGTACCAGCCGCATTACTGAAAAAGTTAATTTATCATAATCTCAATATGGAATGCCCGAGACTCTTGGAATTTCTCGCGATAAAATTGCAACCTCGAAAAAAGTTTGTCATTGCCACATGAGTGGAATAATAAAACGAGAACTTACTCTCCATTTTTCGCATAGGGATGAACGACGAGCTTAGATTTCTTCAAAAGCAGAGCTCTCTGTCGATTCCTCTCTGCTCTTTCTTTGTACCACTGCGGTGACTCTCCACCTTCCTGTGGTGCTTCATTATTTGTTTCCGCGGACATTTCGAAACTTTTTTCAGGATGTGCAGGCCTTTTCCAGAAATCAAATTTTTTCATGGTCAGCACAAAAGCAGTTTTTTTTATACGTAAGGAGTCACATTGAAGTAGTATTCACACAGGTCGTCTTTTAGGATGATTCAATACTGCAAAGCATGATATTCAAAAATATCCCCGGAATTCTGATTTTCAAAAAATACGAAATTTTTGCAAATTTTCAATTGAATCAAAATAAGGATTATGGCTTTACCTTCATCTTCGCACTCTCGGTCAAAAGGACATTCAACAAATTTTTTGAGCCATCATTCAATCAATTCAGAACATTTTTTTAGTTATCGTGGGACAACCGATTTTCGGAAAGATGAAAAAATTAAAAAAAACAATCGCTGGATTAAATTTTAATTAATGGCGATTGATAGGGCTCAGTAATATCTACAATTGAAAAAAAAAGATTCAATTCCAACCGTTCATTAGCGAATAATTGAAGAAAAAGTTTGTTACATACTTTTTGGACTTTTTGGATCATAATGCGTCGATATAACACAAAAAATCCGAAATTTAAATTTGAACAATTACAAAGCTTCCATTGGGAAGCAATTATCATTACAAAATATTTTTTGGCTTTTTGACTTTATTTTTCCTGAAACTCAACGACTCAACGACTCAACTCGAGTTTATTCATACTACTTCAAGTCATGTAGTAGCGGATTCCTTCAATTCTATTCTATAATAAGGCAAAAATCATCTCAGTATTTTTCTCTTTTCCAGTGAAGAAATGGGAGTGGATGAGGCAGAGCACACTATATTTAATTTATTGAACTACTAATAACTCAAGAAATAGTGGAATTTAACCATTTTTGCGCCATTTTTCTGTTCTTTCCTCACGCTCTAAAACACGATCAGGACCATTTCGATTCAGGACTCCTGTTTAAAAGATGCCAAACATTCAAATGGACCATTTTGCCCTATTCTCCCCCAACTTCTTTTATTTTTGTTTCGTTTAACCATTTTTTTATTCATTACTACAAGAGGATATTTGCATTATTTATAGCTATTTACATTTAAAAAATTGGTATGTAAAAAAATTAAGGAAATATATAAATTAACGTAATGCTACTGAATGGAGTCTTTGCTCCTACACGATTGCAATTATGGTGCAAGAAGCTCTTTTATAATTATAACGAGAAAAATAATAGAATTTTGTCTTCCTCTTTGGGCAAAATAAAACCTGTTTTTCAAGTATCTCATCTGTTAGGTTTGTGTAATTAATTATTGACGTGTTAGATATAACAGTCGTCTAAAAATATTATCCAACTTTCTCTATCGATTGAATACACGAATTCGAAAACGAATTTATTTTAAAACAACAACAATTGTTCACCCCGAAAAAGTTAAAGTTCAAAACAAATCAAATCAGTAGCGAAGTGGCAAAACGGTGCAAGTCAATTTTGACTATTGACCCGTTTTCAATGAATATCTCGGAACCCAAGGGCGACAGCAAAATTTTTGTTATAAACTTTTTTGTAGATCCGATTGAGAGCTACAACAAATGTGATTACGAAAATTTCGCCATCTCCCTTCGATTCTGAAATATTCCTTATTCAAGTATTTCATCTGTTAGGTTTGTGTAATTAATTATTGACGTGTTAGATATAACAGTCGTTTAAAAATATTATCCAACTTTCTCTATCGATTAAATGGACAAATTCGAAAACGAATTTATTTTAAAACAACAACAATTGTTCACCCCGAAAAAGTTAAAGTTCAAAACAAATCAAATCAGTAGCGAAGTGGCAAAACGGTGCAAGTCAATTTTGACTATTGACCCGTTTTCAATGAATATCTCGGAACCCAAGGGCGACAGCAAAATTTTTGTTATAAACTTTTTTGTAGATCCGATTGAGAGCTACAACAAATGTGATTACGAAAATTTCGCCATCTCCCTTCGATTCTGAAATATTCCTTATTCAAGTATTTCATCTGTTAGGTTTGTGTAATTAATTATTGACGTGTTAGATATAACAGTCGTTTAAAAATATTATCCAACTTTCTCTATCGATTAAATGGACAAATTCGAAAACGAATTTATTTTAAAACAACAACAATTGTTCACCCCGAAAAAGTTAAAGTTCAAAACAAATCAAATCAGTAGCGAAGTGGCAAAACGGTGCAAGTCAATTTTGACTATTGACCCGTTTTCAATGAATATCTCGGAACCCAAGGGCGACAGCAAAATTTTTGTTATAAACTTTTTTGTAGATCCGATTGAGAGCTACAACAAATGTGATTACGAAAATTTCGCCATCTCCCTTAGATTCCGAAATATTCCTCAAAAACTCAAATGGGAAGTCGACTTACCCCGTATCACCAGTTCGCTACTGAAATCAAAACACCGATAATAATCAGAACAGCCACACGCCCTCTGGTACCCTCAGGGCGGCACTTATTCTCCTGCAAACGTGCAGGTTAGTCCCTCAAACCCATGACCACTGCCGAACAAACCGTTGAAATAAATTCGAAAGAAGACAGTTATGATGGCATCGAAAGGATGGAAAGTGAGTAGACTCTTAAAAACTCGGAGGAAACTTCTAAACCCTCGAAACCAATCTTTGCAACGGCTCCAACGGCCCCATAACTCGTCTAAATACTGATAATACTGAATTGCACTTACGAATAATTCTCCCCAGGTCGTCCAGGCTCACATACCCTTGATTAAATTCAGAAAGGGCGGGCCTGCCAGAGGTAATTTCACTCAGTAATCACCGAAGCATTCGCTCTCTGTGTTGTTTACTTGCGATTAAATTTACTTATTCGTTTTGGAAATGAAAAAATGGTTCACAGCGACGGGGGGTGCGACGACAGCGCAGTCTGCGGCGCCAGGGGCGGCTGCGAGAGGCAGTGCCACGGGTGCAACTGGGCCCAATGTTATCGCTCTACCGACCATTGACGACTTCCAATTGCCCCCGAGATACCAGAGGAGACCCATTGATGAAAAAGAAATTGCCTACATCAATGTAATGTCTCAATTTGTCGAAATTTTTATAATTCCATTCATTAATTTTCCATTCATTGAGTCACATTCGAACGGAATTATTTGATTTGAATTTGAATTCAGAACAGATGAGTTTTTGATGAATTTCTATCAAGTTAGTGAAGAATTTGTCTCTGAGTGCAATTCACTCATCTCATTTTTCCAACTTCAGTACTGAATTTTTCATTTTTTATTTTGTTGCAGCGCGGCGGCCCTGAGTGATTACACAATACGTAGATACATATTACTGATGAATAAAGACACGAACATGAGGAGAAAATGATTTAGATTCTTAATAACTTATTGTGGAAATTTGAAGTTTGTGTTTGATGAATGAATAAATTATTTTCGTTGCACAATACAAAGCTTTTTTTTTGTTCGAGGGATCAATCGGCTTTCATTATTTTTTGCAATCATATAGTGAATTCTGTAGTGAATTAGAAACATATAGTGAAATTCAAAATTTTAGATAACTGCCAATGGGGGACTTGCATGAATTTTTTTCAATTTTCTAATCTTAAATTTGGGACCGGAATAATTTATTGTCCATTCACAAATGTTTGAAATATTGCTCATTAATTAATAATTAATTGTTAAATTAATTATTAATTAATTAGCAATATTTATTATTAATTAATTGCTTTCAAATTGATAATGACGTCACACAGACGGTCGAGCGCTGGACCCTGAATAGTGCCCAAGTTCTGAACGAAATACTTAATTTGAATCATTTATTTTTAACGATAGATAAATTAACTCAAGGGTTTTTTAATTTTCTAGTAGAAAAATGATTTCAATAGATTTCTGATTTATTTTGTGATAAAACAAGAAAAATAGACATTTTCTCCCAGTTTCCGTCATTGTTGAGATAATTCTTCAACTCGTTGCTGAACTTGTCATTGATATAGAAACTTGTTTATATTTTCCTTTCGCTCTTATCCCAAAATCACGTTTTTTTCTATTTTTATTCAAAGTATGACATAATGATAATAAATAGTGCACAAGTTCTCAACGAAATACTTGATTTGAATTATCTAAAGGTTTTTCAAATTTTCTAGTGGGAAATTGATTTAATAGACTTCCAATTTGTTTTGTGATAAATTAAGAAAAAATTAGAGATTTTCTGCTTGAGATTTTCTCCTAGTCTCAGTCATTGTCAAGATAATTCTTCAACCCGTTGGCTGAACTTGTCATTGATATAAAAATTTGTTTATATTTCCCTTTCGCTCTATTTTTATTCAAAGTATGACGTGATGAATATATAGCGCACAAGTTCTCAACGAAATACTTGATTTGAATTATCTGAAGGTTTTTCAAATTTTCTAGTGGGAAATTGATTTTAATAGACTTCCAATTTGTTTTGTGATAAATTAAGAAAAAATTAGAGATTTTCTGCTTGAGATTTTCTCCTAATCTCAGTCATTGTCAAGATAATTCTTCAACCCGTTGGCTGAACTTGTCATTGATATAAAAATTTGTTTATATTTTCCTTTCGCTCTATTTTTATTCAAAGTATGACGTAATGAATATATAGCGCACAAGTTCTCAACGAAATATCGAAATTGCTTTGAATTTTCCGTATAAAAAAATAGATAAATTATCTCAAGCGCTTTTTAATTTTCTAGTGGGGAATTGACTTCAATAGATTTCTGAAATACTCTGCTACGAAAAAAATAAAATAGAAATTGATGACGTTCGGGGTCCTTAGAACTCAAGCGCCGACCTTGCTCTATTGACAGAAATAGCGCAGAAGTTAGTGAGCCACCGGTCCACCTCCATTTTTCCACCCTGTGTTCGCACCAGTGAAGGCGAACAGTTGTTTCTGAATGTAACTAACGTGTAAATTTGTTTAAAAAATTCCCCCAAAAAATCATTAAAAAAACACTAACCATGGAGCGTACACGAACCTACGAAAGATCATCGAACGAAGATGCGCGGAGAAAAGTGCCACAGGAGACGGAATTTGGCCCGAAAAAAACTATACTAGTGTTGGCTATTGTTGCTGGTTGTTTTGCTGTGTTGTGGCCCAAAATTTTTTATCCCATGTTGACGGGACCTGCGAATACTGCACACACGTCACCCGACGAAACTGGTATATTTGAAAATTCATAAATCGCTTTGTTTATTGTTGAAGGATGCATTCTCGTTCATTCTTTTATACATTTTCGAGTCGTTTCTCAATTATTGCGCATACAAGTGCGAAAAAGATCATTGTCAATTTGTTATGGATCAGGAGTGAGCATTTGAAAATAGTTAGCCAATGAAAATAAATAAATAAAATTAATTGGTGTCGATTTTGCAATGGATAGAGATAATAAGATTGAGACAAATTTGACTGTTTTGGAGTAAGAAATATCAGGAGGGTGTTTCATTTTTGTATTCATTTTGGGATAGTTCTTCAACTATTGCGTATATTAACGCGAAAAGATGATTGTTAATATAATAGTAATCAGCAATGGGTATTTGAAAACACTTGGAAAATGAAAATTAAACAATTATTGCGCATACAAGTGCGAAAAAGATCATTGTCAATTTGTTATGGATCAGGAGTGAGCATTTGAAAATAGTTAGCCAATGAAAATAAATAAATAAAATTAATTGGTGTCGATTTTGCAATGGATAGAGATAATAAGATTGAGACAAATTTGACTGTTTTGGAGTAAGAAATATCAGGAGGGTGTTTCATTTTTGTATTCATTTTGGGATAGTTCTTCAACTATTGCGTATATTAACGCGAAAAGATGATTGTTAATATAATAGTAATCAGCAATGGGTATTTGAAAACACTTGGAAAATGAAAATTAAACAATTATTGCGCATACAAGTGCGAAAAAGATCATTGTCAATTTGTTATGCATCAGGAGTGAGCATTTGAAAATAGTTAGTCAATGAAAATAAATAAATAAAATTAATTGGTGTCGATTTTGCAATGCATAGAGATAATAAGATTGAGACAAATTTGACTGTTTTGGAGTAAGAAATATCAGGAGGGTGTTTCATTTTTGTATCCATTTTGGGGTAGTTCTTCAACTATTGCGTATACTAGCGCGAAAAGACGATTGTTAATATAATAGTAATCAGCAATGGGTATTTGAAAACACTTGGAAAATGAAAATTAAACAATTCGCGGTGATATTTGCCATTAATAGGGTCGAAATCAATAGTTCGAGGCGATTTTTTGTTACAAAAAATTCACCGTATTTGGAATTTACCATTTTGCAATTGACATATTCATTAAAAATTACGGAACAATTCACGTAATCCGCAATAGGGAATCGTTTTCCGGCGACTTTTATAGGAATGGAAGAGAAGAAATCTGAAACGTTCAGTGAATTTTCAGGTTCATCACATCCCTCGAATCCGACACATGAACTTCTTAAGTTGTACCTCTTCCCTACAGAATTAATTATTTACTGAGTAATTCATAAATTCCTCCATAATGTTGTATATTATCAGTCTGCTGCGATTTGATATTCGAGAGTGACGTAAATACCGTGGATATCCTCCAAGAGATGTGTCAAAACATACTGAAACACCATCAAATAGATCCACGTGTGCGTGATGCACTGAAAACAAACAAATTGACACCCCAAAGTGCAAGTTTTTGCCGCGACGAAGTCCTGGCAAGATGTGGCATTGATTTGTCATCATTCTTGGCGGAAAAGGAGAGACTCGGAAAAACGTACAAGCAAGTTATAGAGGAGATAAGGTCATTCAACGGTTCACTGTGTCTCAGGAACAATTTTGGTGTACCATTGGCACAATTGGGAACACCGCATCTCATAAGATATCATATATTAATGCCACACAGTAAGGAAAATTCGGTGTGACTGTGTTCAGAAATAACAATTGTAGACATTTTTAGTGATAAATTAACGGGTGAAAATAACAGCTTGTGGCTTTCTCTTCCCCAGAATCAAACGAAAACTATAGATTCCACCTTTGAAAAGGTCAGTGGGTATATATGGATTGCGAGCTCGGGCTGTCCATCTCAAACTGGCGAATTGCCAAATAATCGCACTGTGGCTAAGATTTTTCCAAGAATATATTTTATGAATTTTGCTAATAACATGTGTAATCCAGATATTATGTTTTTATCACAGCTTTCAGTTCTAGGTTTAAGGTGATATTAACGAAAGCTGAAGAATAATAACGAGATGTTTCTGTTCTTAACGTGATTGATGAAGTGAGGAGCAAGTTTTTGGTTTATGAGTTGCCTTTATTTGTGTAATCTGTTTGCTTTCCTCTGAAGATTTTGGTACTTTTTTATGGGAATGGATCGAGGTTGACGTCACTTTCGGGTGGGTGTATTTACATTCGTGTTTGACATGACACAAACAGAATGAGAAACTGTACCTAGTTTCAAAAAGTCAAGTTATTGATCTTGAGCCTGATGAAGATAAAATAATTAGCGAAACGTTGCGTTATTGACGATCTAATCGTCGTCATTTATTTTCCTAATTTCCCATGATCGTTACCATCACAATTTATTTAGGGGAGGGTGGGGTAAAATGAACACTTTAGACTTTTTAAAAATTATTCATAACTCAGAAACAAATTTATCAATTGAGCTCAGTTTAGGCTCGTCATAAAGGGAAATAATTGTTCTTTGTATTGAAAAAAAAAATTATTAAATTTCATCAACATTTCAACCCCTCATTAACATTTGAAAAAAAGTCAAAAGTGTCCGTTTTACCCCAACCTCCCCTATGCAATTAATTTCTTTTACTAGCGACCGGACGTTTCGGGCCTGTCGCTGGATTAATTCATACTATTCTATTTCATTTTATTTTCATTTCCGTCTTCACAACTAGATTAATTTAATCCCCCATGTCCTTATTCTGACCCTTGTGACCCTTTATTTCTGGCCCTTACTTTTTGACTCTCAATTTCGAGTAAATTTTCATCACCAGAAGTCGATTTGAATTTTTATAATATAGAGAAATTTTTTTTTCGTTAATTCAAAAGTTACAACATTGAATGAAAGATCAGCGAAAAGTATTTTTTTTTGTATTTTTTTGTACTAAAAATTTTATCGGGTTATCATCATTTGATAATAATTAATGCCCATAACAAAAGAATGCAAATATTTCCTCCCTCACCGTCCTGATATATCAAATAATATCGTGTCTTCTCTGTGATGCAGTGTCGAATTAACTCCGCAAGAATGCAATAAAAATTTTGCTCTGCTTTTCGTCCACTGGTTCTGATCTTCGTGGAAATAACAATTTTCTTTGCAGCTCCCCTGAGACAAGAAAGACGACTGCCACCTCATGCTGGGGGTCTACATCCAGCAATGAGAGAGCGTGGCAGAGCGATACCCACATCACACATAGTGCCGCGAGTTGATGGGCGACCAGAGAACGTTGTCGTTCAGAAAATGAGACCGCCAATGGGTGGACCTGGGCGAGTTGTGCCACCGCCAAGTGGTGGTGGCGGTGGCACTATGGGAATCATCCTGCCGCTTTATACCATTGGCATTCTTCTCTTCTTCCTTTACACTATTGCTAAGGTATATTAATCCGTACTTTTGAATGTCACTGGTCATATTCGAATAATTTTGGGTCTTTTTGGTATTTGGGGACATTTATTCTAAGGAATGACTGGGGCATTTATTCGGTTGTGAAATCATTGTGTCACTCAGGACTGAAATCGTATGAAATCAGTTGAAATCAAGTGAAATCAGTGAAAACTTCCACTGTTAGAAAAACTTAATCGAATTTTCCAGAAAGTGACACTGAATTCAAATTAACGGAAAAAAGTCTATGAAATTTCAAGTTTCCCTGAAAATTCAAGGAAATTCCCGATTTTTCAGTGGAAGAACCATGAAGATTCCGAAATTTCCATGAATTTTCAACGTAAACATGATAATTTAATAAGAAATTGCTCTGAAATTTCAAAAAATTGAAAATCCAAGGACATTTTTGTTTGAATTTTCCTAATTTCCATTAATTTTCATGGAATAATTTTACTGAAATTTGAAATTTCCATGAATTTTTCACGAAAACCACAAATTTTTAATGGTAAAATTCCCCGAAATTTCAATGAAACCGTAACTTGTTTCATATTTCAAGACTAAAGCCTGGAAACTTCAGTGAAAATTTTTTATCAGTGGGGGATTTCATCGATTTCTGGTGATTTCAATTGCAATCACTTGCAATCGGTGAAATCTCATAAAATCATGAAATCAGCAACTCATAAGACCCTTTCAAATACATAAAAGAAAAAAAAACTTTTTCGACTTATTTGTGATATATTCTTCTACGTATGCCCATTTACGTGTATTATTTTTCACATAGAAAAAAAAAACAAATGGATGAAAAAAAAGCGTATTTTCTTGTACGACCTCCTGAAATCCTCAGAATGTATCGAAACATCGTGTTACCGACAGAGACACTGTTTGCGGGAGAAGACAAAAAAAACAAAATAAAAATACAACATCAACAATCGATATTTTCCGAGAATCTCCCATACGATGAAATCGAAAATTTGAAATCACTTAAAATCGTCTGAAATCGCGAAATCACCACAAAATCCCAGACAATCGCATGAAATCAAAGATTGCATGAAATCATGAAAATCTCCGTGAAATCATCTAAAATCAGCAATCACTGTCTCATCGAATTCCTAAATAATTGGCCCCTGGCATTTATTCTAAGGAATGACTGGAAACTTCGAGGAGCTAGTCACTCCTCAATTGGGTGACTCAGTAATTTTCAGAATGGGATGATTGCCTGTGATTTCTTGAATGATTTCTTTGGATGATTTGACGTAATAAGTTTTATCGCTTGAGCACAGAATTTTGTTCTATCCTAATGGAAAATAACTAACGAGTTTCGCGGAACCTGATCAAAAATCATGAGAAACTTAATTAACATATTCCCATCAATCTTCGTGTTTCAGATCCTGAGAAAAAATTCAAACAATGAAATTTACCAGGATTATCAAAACCCCGAGGCGGAAAGGGAGTTCAGGGACCGCGTCTTCAACCCTGACATCCTCACCACTGCAATAACGGGTACTAATTATTATCGGAAAGAGAGATCGCCTTCACCCAAGGAGCCACTTCCAACGATTCAAGAGCTTCAAGCACGTAAGTGGTCATTAATTCCGCATTTTCTTTTTCACGAACTTATCAATTACACTGAGAAAAGAATTGATTCGTGACAGATGAATGGAGCTTTTAATGATCATTACTCGTTATTCTTATTCCCGTGTTTGTTTTCCTGAAATGTCTACATGCGTAATGAGTATTTGATTACCCCTAAAGGTATTTCCTCAGCCAGTTATATGGGAACAGTCGCCGATGAACAAAAACCGTGAAATTTTGGGGAAAAATTCTTGAAATGGCCAGTAATTTTTAAGGATGTACTACACCCTTGCGGCCAAAATTAACGTTTTTTCAATTTTTCTGGGAAATTGTTGATCGGATTGGCGCGAAATAATCTACCGTTTTTGCGTTTTATCATTATTGACTGACTCACGAAGTTTCATGGTAGTGCAATCATTTTCCTGCATTTTTTCTAAAGTTTTGTGTATTTCCGAAAAGTTTTAGAAAAAACGCAGGAACATGATTGCACGATCATGAAATTTCAGGAGCCATTAAGCAATGATAAAACGCAAAAACGGTATTTTTTTTCACGTCAATCCGATCAACAATTTACCAGAAAAATTCAAAAAACGCGAATTTTGGCGAAAATTGTGTCAATCTCAACTCAGTATTGGAGGGGTGCGATGAGTCTGTACAAATGTTTGAGATTTTCGTTCGAAAATAGGCGATGAATTCCGCACTTTGAAGGACTTCCGGTGGTTGGATCCCGGTTAGGTCGAGTATATTATGTTAGTGATGAAGTTACTGGTGAATTTTGTGCAACAAGACAGGAATTCACACCTTTTGACCAGACAACGTCCAGCCATCCACAGAATTTTTCGATTCACCGAAGAATTGGAATTCAAAGTTTCTATGGAATTTAAGCGGATTAGTAGTTTCCCCGAGGGGTTAATCCCTCGAAATTTCACGTGAGGCGAGTGGTTTTATCCCAGATTTAATCCGCAATTTCCCATACGTTTTTTCCAGATTCCATTTCTGCATGAATTTATCTCCGAATTGATTCTCTTTATGCCCTCCAATTAGCGGATCCTTCGAACGTAGAAGAATACCGACAGATTGGATCCCAATTTACGGGATTTAAATCGGAATCGCTTCACGATTCGGCCTCCGATTGAAGTCAGAATGTTCTTGGTCTCTTGGTCTTGAATGTTCAGAATGAAGTTCGAGTTTTTCTTTGCGGCAGGTCATCCGCGAATTCGGGTAATTTTCCGGAATTTAATGGTCGTCGAGATTATTACTAATTAGGGAAGTAACCATCCCTTCTCCGTCTCACAAAAATCGAACGAATCCAGGAGAAGGTAGATAGAACTTCACTCGACTTTGCGGGAATGAAAAATAGGAATTAACCTATAATCCTTGAATTAAACTTTGCCGACGTTTTGACTCGGGTTGAGCCGCAAGCTCGAGTGGGTTTCACCCGAGGATTATCTCTGAGTTAATTCGCATTTTTGGGTTACTGCAAGAGTGAGGAAACCTCTTACTTATTTATTACACAGGGTCTCTTTCTACTGAACGTACATACAGTCCAGTCTCCGTACAAGAGTTGACTATTAATATCAGGACAGTGATACTGAATGTGATTTAGGGGAACGCATAAACCTGATTTAAGAATAAAATATACTCGATTCAAGTATATTTTATACTCGAATGGGGAATGGGTGTTTCAATTCGAGGATGATTATTTCGTATTAGCCCGGGTTGTACCAAGCGCTCTCTCATGTAATATAAGGGTCAGACACTGAGTGTGAGAATATAAGGGTCAAAAAGTGGAGGTTAAAAAATGAGGGTCGGAATATTAGAGTCAAAAACTGAGGGCCTGAATGGAATGGTGAAGGAATGAGGGTCAGAATGTTAGGGTTGAAAAAAGAGGGTCAGAATATAAAAGTAATAATCAGGTTCAAGTCACATGAAAATACAGCGATTAAAAAAAAAAAGTCAAATCGCATCGTTTGTTCAGGAGGAATCGTGGCACAAAATTTTTGTCACAGACGTACGCACACACATACACACATCCACACATACAGACAGGTACCTGAAAAGGGTCAGAAGTGGTTCCAAAGGTCATGAAACGTGGAGAAATGCTTAAATTTCCACATTCGATTTTCGGGGTCATTACAATAACTTCCTCCCTTCGGGTCGGGAAGTTAAAAAAAATCGGTGTCAGGCAATGAGGGTCATATAAGGGCTAAAAACGGTAATCAATCATAATATATGACTTATATTTCCCTCATTCCCTGACACCCACATTTTTTACTTTTATATTCTGACCCTAATGTTTTAACCCTAATATTCTGACCCCCATTTTTCAACCTCCACTTTTTACCCCTTATATTCTGACACTTAGTGCCTGACCCTTATATTACACTTGAGAGGGCTCGCTACAACCCGGCCTGATACAAGAGAATCATCTTCGAATTGAAATACTCATTCTCCAATTGAGTATCAAGTATATTTCATACTCAATTCAGGTATATTTTTCCGTGGACCTTAAAATGGCAGTTCCATTGAATACTCTAGAATTCAACTGATTTGTCAATAAGAAAATAGATGAAAATTTCGTGTGAGTGATTGTTAAAAATTTCAAGATTTTTTACTTGAAATTTGAGTAATTTTCAAACAGTGTACCGTAGTTCTGGAAACCAGAAGCTTTTTAACTCTGTGCTACTTTTATCTCCAAATCGTTAACTATTCCCAAAGGATTGAAGACAATTACTGCGCATTGGACGCTCCGCCTGCTTATGTCAACAAAATTTTATTGATAGTACGATTCGGCAACCAGTGACCGAATTTTCTCATGTGACTGTCAGCACGGTTGTGTGAATAATGTTAGAATCGGTGGACTGTTTTAAGGCCCGGGGGTATTAGCTCTCGAGCGGTATCCGCCATCGTTTTTCATTTTCCGCAAAATTCGTGAACTAGAAAGAATCCTTTGCTGCACAACCCCGCGGGCGTAAATCGTAAGAATCGATTTTTGAGAATCCGTTGATGAAACTATTCTTCGCCGTGTAAAAACCGAGGGGCCATTCACTTGGGAAATCATTGTGTCACGCAAGACTGAAATCGTAGGAAATCAGTTGAAATGAAGTGAAATCAGTGAAACCCTGGGATTTCATCAATTCCGGGTGATTTCAATTGAAATCATGAAATCAGCAACTCATGAGATCTTTACGAATACATAAAGGAGAAAGAAACTTTTTCGACTTATTTGTGGTGTATTCTTCTACGTATGCCCATTTACGTGTATTATTTTTCACATGGAAAAAAAATAAATCGGTGAAAAAAACGCGTATTTTTTTGTGCGACCTCCTGAAATCCTCAAAAAGTATCGAAACATCGTGTTACCGACAGAGACACTGTCTGCGGGAGAAGACAAAAAAAACAAAACAAAAATTCAACATCAACGATCGATATTTTCTGAGAATCTCCCATACGACTTTGGATTTTTTGACTGCGGTAGAAATGGATATTTAATCGAATGAATGAAAAAAATATATATTTGATTCTCATGGCATCACCTTGATGGTTTCATCCCTACATTTACCCCCCTTGTAACTCTCATGCTTGAGCCTTCTTGTATTAATATGATGCATTTCCTCCCCTCCTACTCCATTCCCCCTTCGCCACGAAATAGATGAAATCGAAAATTCGAAATCACTTGAAATCGTGAAATCACAAAAAATCCCAGGCAATCGCATGAAATCAAAGATTGCATGAAATCGTGAAGATCTCCATGAAATTATGTAAAATCAGCAATCACTGTGTCGTCGGATTTCCAAATGAATGCCCCTCGTAGAGAAGCGAAATCATAGGGATTATCCCCTGTAACTGTTCAGAATTTAAACTCAAAATCATCCGCATGTGATTTTCAATTTCGTAACTCATGACAACCCATTCTATGAATTCGTCAATGCTATCACATCTCTTCTCAGTGTTCGTAATCCCTGAATATCTCCATTACACATTTTGCATAATAAATAAACCCTTTATCAATATAAGAAGACACTAATGATGACAAAAAAAGGGGACAGTTCTATTTTCAAAAATTGCAAACTGTAATGAACAACAAAAAGAATGAAATTACGAATATTCGCGAATTTTTCATTCTGAAAATATCGGTATAATGTTGCACATGCTGGGCACGATAGAAGCAGCAGGAGACATTGAGGTAAATCAGCTGATACAACGATTGGCAGACACCGAGGCAGCGATGGAACGAATTGTCGTACAAATGGGCAATTTGTCACGAACAATCGTACATAATCCCCAGTGCACAGATACACAGGTTCTGAATGACTCATTTCGAACAATTATTTTTTTCCAATATCTCTCTTTGTCACTGATAAAGAATGGGAGTTTAGTTTTTTCTTTTTTTTCTTTTTGCACTGGACCAAAAATCACTAAACGATTTTTATGACATGGAGACGTTTTTTTTTACATTAAAAATTAGAAGTTGCACGTTGCTGTGTTCTGATTGTCCCTCATGCTTCCAATAGTCAGATGGAACGTGATCATGATTATTGTTTTTCTTCACGAGTGTCATTCAATTGTGTAGCGAAGGTGAAGGAGATAATCCGAGACAATAGATGCAGATTATTTTGGAAATTTGTCTGAGAAAGATCGAGTTGAGAGGAAAATTTTAAGGGACAAGAAAGGCTGGAATAGCCATATCCATAAATTACAATTGCTGTTAAATTATTAAGTAGTCAATTAGTTAATATCACTCTTAAATTTTAATTATTGAAGTAATCATCAATTTAAATATTCAAATTCCTAATAATTTATTAATCAGTAATTTAGTTAGGATGATTGACGATTATTTGGATAATCGGAAATTCTTTACAAGAAATTTAGGATTATCTGCTCAATAGAAAATTTAGATTATCAATTATTGTACTATTTTTTAAATTAGATTAGTATATTTAAGCTAAATTCAATTAAATTCAATTTAAACTAAATATTTAAAGGAAATTCTTTTAACATTGAAGTGTCGCAAGTTATCCCCTTTGTCACTCCACTTTTGAGTTCTTCATTCACCACCAAAATGCATCCAATAAAATAAAAATGAAAAATAGTAAAATGTATGATTTCCATATTTTGAGTAGTCGATGAGGCTCCGAATTCCAACGGTCCGACTGGGGTTGCCCTAAAGCCAAAGGTAACCATTCAATGGAACCGATGAGTGTTTTAACAGCCGAAACAACTGATTGTCGTTGTAGTCCTGCTGGGTTTAATTTAGTTTTTCCACCTTTTTTTTATAATTTTAAGGAATTTAATTCGTATTCATTTTTATATCACTTCATCCACATGGTTTTTCGTTTATTGACGTTGCTTCTGCGATATTATTTGAAAATGCTTTTGTATTGAAACGATGAAAAATCATGAGTAAAATATGTTAGCTTTATTAATTGGATAATTGTTAGTGTGAGAAACGAGCTATTTCAATAGATGAAAATCTAAAGGAATTTTCATCACGCTGTGCGAAAAAGTAACTTTTCGTTGACTCGGACCCGAAAAATAAACGAAAAATCTTTTCGTTCATTTTTCATTTAAATTTCTAAGGTCAGTCCGTGTTTTTCAATCCGGCTAATATAGATGATTTTAAATTGGAGATTTGAGATATACATTTTTTAAATTTAATTTTGAAATGCGCATGTTTAATAACGACTACCTCATTACTTGTAATTGATAATGAGAACAATTTCCATGAAACAAAATCTTGTCATAATTTCCCTTAAAATTTCCCTTCCTCGAGATAATTTCATAATCAACGAGGAGAGAAATGAGATAAGCTCACTGATTCGTTTCACAATTTCAATACAGATCTGAGTTTCGCCTGCATGGTCGTGAGATTTTGCGAAATTGTAGCAAGTAACTCATTAAGCAGGCAAAACAAATTCTTCATACGCTTGTTTGATGGATCGAACGGAAATTGAGGGGAATAGCTTGCAGTTGACTGACAATAAATATTTTTCGTTTCAGGGAGAATGTGTGGATAAACAGTGTTATCAGAGTCCCAATGAAAGTGGAGAAGTCGATGCAGACTCAGGGTCTGCGATGAAGGTCATGGGAATGGAGATGACAGCTACCTCTGAGACTGGCCAGAAAATAAGCCGACCCACCACCCCCATTTTTCCTGATGGACGCGGGTAAATATCAGTTCTGCAATACGTAGAGGCTCTAATCATGGCTCAATTTTTTTATGTAATGACGGAACGTTTCATGGCGCATTGAATAACCAATACTCTGATTCCAATATGCCCCAATTTCCAGCGAAATGTCCTCATTTTTCATTCTGTCTCGTCAATTTCCATGTTCGCTTTTAACTTGTCCAAAAGTTGTCTCTATGAGGAACAGCCATATTCATAAATTATAATTACCGTTAAATTATTAAACTTTCAATTCGTTAATATCACTCTTACGTTTTAGTTATTGAAGTAATCATCAATTTAAATATTCAAATTCCGAATGATTTATTAATTGATTTATTAATTTAGTTAGGAAGATTGGTGATTATTGGATAATCGAAAATCCCTTATAATAAATTTAGTATTATTTACTCAACGCTCGATCACTCGCGCTCGGCCGCCAGCATTCATCATGCGGTTAGCGCAGCGCCGCTGGGTTAGACCGAGCGCGCTGTTGCCACCTTGGCGTTTATCGCTCTGCGCGCGTTTCAAGTGCGGCAGTGAATGTAGCAACACTGCCGCTCAAGCGTTTGACAGGGACTCACTCGCACCGGGCGGCGCGGCGCCGTTTTTCTGTCCGCTCGACGTTTCTTTTCTTTTTTTAGCTCAACAAATGTCTCGAGAAAAAAAAGAACAACGCCAACGCTTAATAAAAGCATTGAACTAGGCACTCTAATTTTTCCAGAATTTTTAAGCGTCGATAAACACGCTAAAATATAAAAAAACGAAAACGGGCGGTGCAGCGCTCGTTGAGCGAGTGATCGCTGGTTAAGCATCGTTAGTTATTGGGGCGTTTCGTTCATTGTTTCTCTTTGGTTAATTCTCTCTGTTTTACATTGAAATTCAGCCGGAATTTCAATCGAAATTCTTGAAATATTCGAGAGGAGTTGCTTTGTTGGGTATTTCAGGGATTCATTCATTTCAAAATGATCACTTTGTTGTCAATTCTATAGAAATGAGAAATCGATCTCTTATGGACAGCAATGAATGCCACGAGAGGCCAGAGGGATTCTCGCTAAATTTCACAGCGGATTCCGAAAATGATTGAGCTATTCTAATATGTTAAAATGTTATAAATTGAAATAAGATAGATTGAAAATAGTTTGTCTTTAAAAATTAAAAACAAAGATGAAAATCCTCCACTTCCTTCAGAGAATTTCTATTATTTCGTAATAATTGTTTTCAACTGCAAAATTTCCAGGGAAATTTTTGTCATTCGTGAAAATATTTTAAATGCGTCTGATGACCCCCCAAACTGCGCTCGATTGACTGACATCCGAGAGAAAGAAATAATCAAAAGAACCCCCGTACAAAAATATATTTAAAAAATACATAAATTGGGCCAATTCAAGATATTTTTTCCATATTTTCCAAAATATAAATTTTTCCGTGTGGGAACTTTTAGCAGTTGTATTTAAGTTTTAGTTCTTAAACTTTAACGTTCCCCCATGAATAATAAAAAGATTGATTATAAGTTCACCGAAATTCAATTTCAATCAATGGAAAAGTGCTATTGACATTATCCCCGTAACGTAAAATCTAATTTTCCAGGCCGGAAGAACGTGAGAAGACGCCGCCAAAGCCAATTTATCTCGAGGGTATCCTTCCACCCCAATGTGAAATACTGGTATCAGACTCGGAAACCCAGGAGGAGAGCTCCGAGGAGAATTCCGATGCTGCCATTGTATTGTCAAGCAAAGTGACACTGTCACTCATCAGTCACGATCAGAATTCATCTGTAAGGAAGTATTAAAATTAATCATCAGTCACAAATGAATTCTACGGAGCCTAGTTATTATTTGGTGATTCTTTAATTCATTTAATGTTTTACCGCGTCTAATCATCTTCTTGACTACTATCACACTATTCCTAACACTTTAGTCACAATTTCCAATGCTTACGGTAATTTGAATCTACGTTACAGGCTTCCGAAATTAACCTTTGCTCTGGCTGTGTGAAATAATAGAAAGGATACCAGATCTTGAGCGCTTGTGTTATGACATTAATCTGTATTTTTTCAATTTCCTAGGACTCGACAGGGGCGATTGAACATTTGGATGAAAATGGAGAAGTTATACCGAGCGACTTAGGGGTGAAAGCGCGGGAGAATGGAGAGACTGCTGCAGCGTTGATCGATGAAAAGGAAATTAGTGTTTTCAGCGATGAGAAAGATGAGGTGGAAATTGTTATGAAAGATGAGGAACATCATAATGAGAAAACGTCTGACATTGTAACGAGGGATGGAGAGGTGGAGAAAGGGTATGAGGAGGAGGAGGAGGAGGAGGAGGAAGGTACAGAAGAAATTGAACAGATGAAAGAAGTGAATGTACTAGAGTCGATAGATCAAACACAGATAGTCAAGCAATTGGATGAGGAGGAAGAAGGAAGCGACGAGGAAGAGGAAGAGGAGGAGGAAGGGCAAAAGGTGGGAGAAGTAGTAGAGCATACAAATGTGAAAGTAACAGAAAGAGAGGAGGAAGAAGATGAAGAGGAGGAGGAGGAGGAAGAAGAAGAAGAAGAAGAAGAAGAAGAAGAAGAACATATAGAGAAGGCAGTTGAACAGAAACATGTAAAGGTAGAGCAGCGACAGGAAACAGAAGAAGAGGAAGAGGAAGAAGAAGAAGAGGAGGAGGAGGAGGAGGAGGAGGAGGAGGAAGAGGAGGAAGAGGAGGATAAAAAAGAAATTGAAGTCCAAAAAGTCCAACCCAGAAAATTTGCCATTAACGATAAATTAAAAGATGTAAAGAAAACAGTGGAAAGTAATGAAAATGAAGAAAGTGAAGAGGAAGAAGACGATGAAGATGAGGATGGTGATGTTGAAGATAATAGCGAGGAAGATGCGCTAAAGCGTAAACGATAAATCGTCAATTGTGAATTGGTTTCGTCAACCACATTTTTCCACTGATCTTGTGTAATTGTAAAAGTTGAAAGAAGCATTCTCATTTTATTTCCACTAATCTCTGGAGAAATTCCTTACTAAATTCACGTTTTATGAAACAGAGACTATTGCAAAAACTAATCTGAATATTATTAAATTTTAAAATTTTAAAATTTTTTAGTCGTAAATTTTCCAAAAACGACGACATGCTTGACAGAACGCAGTGATGACGAAGTGTTGGTTCTTTTTCATTTTACAAAACTGTTGAGAATAATAAATTCTGGAATAATGTAGATTTAATATATAAGAGAAGAATGTTCACGTTTCCTCTATTGAATATAACAGAAGTCTAGAATGCAGTGATGAACGCCACCTTTATACATCAAATAAATCGAAAATATTCAATTGTAAACAGCTAGTTGTTAGATATCGGAGTCAAGTTTATTGTTATACCGTTCAGATCCCATCGGAGTCCCGTGTTGAGTATCTTCCATTATTGTTATCAACAAGTGAATGCTCGTCAATGTTTTTTGATTGATCAAATAAAGAATAAAGGATGAATCAGCTGTTATTTTTTATTGTATTGTAGAACCCAGAATATTGATTAGATACTGAATAATCGTTCGTTAGTGAGATAATTTTATAGTTGACTAGGGGGCTAGGCCCCCTGCTCGCTTCGCTCGCCAATCCCCATATGACCTCCATATGATCCTCATATGACCCCCATGATCCTTATTCTAACCCTTGCTACCCTTATTTGGACCCTCCATCAGACCCTTGTGACCTCCATTTGACCCTTATGATCTGACCCTTATGACTCTTATTCTGATTTTTACGACCCTTATTCTGAATCCTCGTGACCCTTATTTCGACCCTTATTATACCCCTGTGATCCTTATTCTGACCTTCATGACCATTATTCTGACACTCGTGAACCTTAGACTGAGCCTTATGATCTTTATTCGGTCTTCTATGACCCTTATTGTGACCCGCGTGACCCTTAGACTGATCCTCATGATTCTTATTCTGAGTTTTATGACCCTTATTCTGACCCTCTTGGCCCTTATTCCGACCCTTGTGATCCCTTGTTCTGACCCTCGTTATTCTCACGCTCATGACCCTTATTCTGACCCTCTTGGCCCTTATTCCAACCCTTGTAATTCTTATTCTCACCCTCTTGGCCCTTATTCCGACCCCTGTGATCCTTAGACTGACCCTTAAACTTACGAATGCGCATGACAATGAATCTAATAGTTTATGCTTTATTTTCTCTATTTCTAATTGTTCTGTTCATTATAAAAAATTGAATCTAAAAGAAATCAACTATTTCAGAAATTCTACATAATTTTTAATTTGCACCTGATATACTTCCACTTCCAATAACAAAAATCCATATCGAAATCAACGTGGAGTAGTCCCATTGCAAGTAAGTGAAAATTAATCGTTGCTATCAGTTTCAACCCATATCGTGCCTTTCTGTTCCTTTCATTACACTGCACATTAATTACTCGGCCATTTGTACTCATTCCGTGATTATTATTATCACTGCATACTCATACTCTATCATTTAATTGATTTTCCATTTATGAAATTGATGAAGCGCTTGAATTGCCGCGGACAAATTATTCTGTCAAAGATTTATTCTTCGAGTAGAAATTAATTACTATTGATTCTGCATTTAGCGAATGAAACTCTGGCATTATTGATGAAAATGAACGATTTATGAGTCAATCAATTTTGATTGTCAGATTTACCCAGGAATGCTAGGGAGATTTCAATTAACGAGTTAAGCATCTGTTTTATTTTCTACGGAATTGATATGAGAGAGTGGAAAGAATTGGAAGATCACAGACGAAAAAGACTTAATAGAAAAACTTATCGAATTCGTTAGAAAATTCTATCGAATTTCTATTAAACTATTCTATTAGTTTTTGGCCGATTATATTGAAGTGTTTAATAGAAGATATTCAGTGGAAAAAGTCAATAGGATTCAATTTTTCTATATAACTTATTCTATTGAGAGATTTTCTGTAGAATTCCTCGGCTCAAATTTTCTGCGTTTTTTCAGTATAATTTTCTTTTCTTCTCATCAAGAAAATCAAGCAAAAAACTTGAGCCGAAGAAATTCTGTAGAAAATCTCAATAGAATAAATTGTATAGAAAAATCAAATTCTTTTGATTTTTTCTATTGAATATTAGAATAGAATTGTATCGCAAATTCGCTAGGTTTTTCTATTAAACTTTTTCAAAAATTGCATTTTCGGACTTTTTGGTTCATAACGGATCGCTATAACCCAAAAAATCCAAAACTTTAATTTCAAAGATTACAATGCTTCCATATGTACACAATCCGCAATGGGAAATCGTTTTCCGGAAATTTTTATAGGAACGGAAGAGAAGAAACCTGAAGCTTTCAGTGAATTCTCAGGTTCATCACCGAACAAAGTACGAAATTGTCACGTAATTTTTCTCGAAGAAGTAAAATCTTACAGAAATTTGCCGACTTATTGTGGCCAAAATCAAAAATTGTTGAACGCTCAACAATTTTTATGAAGCTGGTGAGTTATTTCTACGTTCCGTTTCGTAAAATTTCTCTAGAATTAACGTGGCAATTCGTACAATTTGAGTTCCGACTTCCACTTTTTATTGAATTTTACTTCGCTCGCGGATTACGTTTTGAAACGTAATTTTCCGTGTTTTTCTGGTAATTTTTACAGAATTTTTCTCTCCGTGTACGAGACTTCTCAACTGGCACTTCAGCTCCTGGGCCAAATTGTTATCAGAAAGGGAGATTGTCCATCCACTCATAGGAAGTTCCAAATGCCCCCAGAAAGTAGTGATTTATCGGAACTATCGTATTTACAGAGTACACATGATGGTTGAGTTGATTATTCGTAGGAGTAGTGGGGCAGAAGACAGAGAAGAGTAGGAAGATAAACGAATGACCCTCGCCCTCGTCAATGACCTGCATGATAGTCTCTCGACGATTTTACTGACGCATTCACGTCAAATACGAACGAAATTAGTCGGCAGCATGCTCATTCAACCGAGCGTGGAATAAATGAGTTTGGCTTAATCCACCTATAATTCAGTCTGTGTTACTACGCTCCAGTGCCAGTAAAATGAAATTAATTAAGTTATCAGTTTTATTTTTCTGTACTCACGTGTGCCTCGGTGATTCCATTAGTGATGGTACAGAAACGTTTTTTCAAAATTATTACAGAGAGAATGCGACATTAATTACGCTTTAAAATGGTACATGCAGCATGTATCACTCGAATTTGGGTGAATTAGTGTTTGATTGTGATTCTAGATGAGGCAAAACGACAATTGGCACAGGGGGAACGGCAACTCGGTGATCACATCCGAATGATTTTGAAACATTATCAGCAGGATGATCCAATTGGACTTCCGGGTGCACCAATACCCGATCCTATGTCTATACCTGAATTAAAGCAGACATTCACTGCAGTCACTATGCATTTTACTGATGTCAATGTCTATGGGCTATCGAAATTTCGAATTGCCAATATCCATTCGGAACTTGCGCAGATGCAGGTAGGATGGGAATTGTTGGCGATGAAAAAAGTATTTTGAGGGAAGTTTTTGATTAATATCTTCGACTTTAACCCCGAGTCGAGGATTTGGTTCTGATTGGACGTACACAGGTCTTTCAAGA